AGCCGAATCGACTGTAACAAAATATCAAAATAAAGGGCAGAAAAAATACTTTTCTATAAAGATCAAACTCGGACTTCAATTCGCTTAGATTTACCTTCCCCTAGCCACAGAACTGAAAACCAACGCAGAAAACAAGGATGAGTCATACAACAGCTCTCAGCAATATAGATCAAACCTCCAATCAAAATCCTCAGAGTCACATTCAACACATCAGACGAGAATCCATGATCAGATCAGAACAGCATGTACATCGTACAACAGCAATCAGACATCAGAATCGATACAGATTGATCGATAATCAAATCGAACAGAAACAGAGAAATACATCATATTCAATACTGACAGAACATACGGAAATCAGAAAACCAGATATCAGGTATAAATCAACTTCCAATCAGAAGTCATATCAGAAGCAGACAGAATGCGTACGTGACATATCAGAATCAGATCATATCAGACAACAGAACAGAATCATAACATACAGAAATCAGAATTACAGGATCAGAAATCAGAAAATAGAAATCATTATCATTTACATTAACTATTATCAGGTGAAGTCAGTAACAAATTAAATCAGTACATAAATATTTTCAGAACATATCTTCCTTCGAGATCTCAGAACTTCCCCTTATATCTCCCTTGTGTTTCAGATGGTACGCACCAGACTCCCCTTATATATGCTCCCTTGGCGTCATCACCAGAATCTTCTCTCCTTATTAGCTCCCTTGTGCTACTAGGCACCCCAGAACTTCCCTATAAGCTGCCCAATTTGCTGTTGTGGGGCGTATTAGCACATTAGAACAGAACAGATATACGAATTTCAGAACTTTATTCAGAACTCTCAGAACTTCCCCTTTATATAGCTCACATTGTGTCTTATAGCACCTTCCCCTTTATAGCTTCAAAAGCATAACAACAAATCATAACATGTCATTTCAGAGCAAATCCGAGACAACATTAGAAATCGTACATAAATCCGGTCTCCCATGCGTAACGGCAGTATACGGATTTACTACAAAGATTTGACAGGAAATCAGAATTTATACCAAAATTACACAGAACATATCACCTAGAAATGATAATATAAGACTTTTTATCTACTTGTCACAACATATTTAGCACAACGAGTCAAAATATGTGCAAGTGCGAAGAAAACACCCGCGCTAGATCAAAATACCCGGTAAAATCCAAAATAATCAAATGCTCCCAGGAGAAATGGATGTAAGATATTCGCACGTGTTGTGTCTCCACTTGACAGCGAGTATGCTGCAACTCGTGAAACAGTATTCGAAAAGTTACGTTTGGATAAAACTGAACCAATCGGAAAATAACGTGACGAAAATTTGCTAACTAAAACGAAATCCGGACAGAGAAAGTCGTTCAAACTTCACCGTTCTGAAAATTGAGAAAGGCGGAATGTGCCTTACCTTGCGTACACCATTTCCTGAATTCTCTGTACTCGACGAACAAAAGGCCCCGGCGTTTGCCCGAAATCAAACTTCTCTCCACAAATCTCCTCGACCTTCTCTCTCCTCAAACGATTTTAGATATTATTTGAGTTTTCTCTCTCTTCAAAATGAGCTGATTTCAGCTTTAAATGCTCTGATTCGCCGGACGCCGATCGCACGATCGTCCGGACGAACTCGCTAAATAACACGATCGTCCCGGACGATCTGACCAAATTCCAACATCGTCTTGGGACGATTTCGCAGGACGATTAATTAATTTCTCAGGACGATTTGCTCTCTCTGGAACTTTTGTTCATACACTGATCGTCTGGACGACCCAAGATTCGGTGCCTGAACTGACAGTGCCCTCAACAAGTGTCTCTTTAGTTCCTCTAACATCATATCCCTTTTCTCCAAGTACTGCTCCACTAACAAAATTGGTGTGTTTGCATGCCCAAAATGCACCAAGTTTGGGGATCCCTTCCATACAGCACCTTAAAAAAGGAGTCATCTAAGAAGCTGAGTGGTACGATGTATTGTACCAATATTCAGCACATGCTAACAACTTGGCCCACATCCTTGGTGTTTCCGAAGCAAAACACCTCAAGTCTCCAAGCTCCTGTTGACTACCTCCGTTTGCCCGTCCATTTGAGAGTGGTAGGTGATGCTTCTCTTAAGAATTGTACCCTGCAACTTGAATAACTCCATCCAAACTGGCTGAGAAATACCTTATCGCGGTCAAAAACTATTGATTCTGGAACCCCGTGCAGTCTAACCACCTCTCTGATAATGTTTCAGCCACTGTGACGGCAGTGTAGGGGTGTCGTAAGGGAATAAAATGTGCATACTTACTCAGTCTGTCAACCACCGCCATAATGACTATGAACCCTTCAGATCGGGGTAGGTCATCTATGAAATCCATCAATACTTCTTCCCATACCCTGTTTGGAAGTGCTAAGGGTTGTAGTACCCCCAAGGGAGCCTTTTCCATGTACTTGTTTCTCTGACAAACCTTGCACCTCGCCACTATCTCCTCCACATTCTTATGCATACCCTTCTAGTATAATTCAATAGCCAATCTTCTATATGTCCTCTACACTCTAGAATGGACTCTAACCGCAGTCCCGTGAAACTCCTGCAATAGATGTGGAATATGGATGGAAGTTCTGGGCATCAAAAAACCTCCCTTGGTACAACAGCCTGTCCCCTCGAGGGCATAGCTTGAGTGGCTACTTCTATCCTTTAGCAGATTCATTCAGATCTTCTTAAACTATTCGTCATGCACACTTTCTTCCCGGATAGCCCCCCAATCCACCATCAGGGGTATTGAAATGGTCATCTCCTGGAGCTCTCCCCCACACCTGGATAAGGCATCAGCCGCCTTATTCTCCAACCCTAGTTGATACTGGATCTCGAAATCGTACCTCTATAATTTAAATAGCCACCTCTGATGTTCCTCCGTCACCATTCTCTGCTCCAAAATATATTTCAAGCTCCTTTGATATGTTCTGATGATGAAGTATTGTCCCAACAGGTATGGTCGCGACTTCTGAATAGCCAACATAATGACTATCAATTCTCATTCATATACAGACTTCAGTCTAGCTCTAGCTGATAAAGCCTGACTAAAGTAGGCTATGGGTCTATGATTCTGCATCAGCACTGCCCCTAACCCATATTCAGACGCATCTGTCTCCACCAAAAAAGTCTGACTAAAGTCTAGTAAAGACAAAGCGAGTATTGTGGTCATTACCTTCTTAAGTTTCTCGAAAGCTTGGGTAGCCGCTTCTCCCCACAAAAAGCTATCCTTCTTTAACGGCTCCGTCAAAGGCAAAGCTATGTTGTTGTACCCCTTCACAAACCTCCGGTAGTAACCCATCAATCCTAGGAAACCCCTTAGCTCTCTCAAGTTCCTAGGTAGAGGCCACTTCTCCATTGCTTCAAGTTTGACTGGATATGCTGCCACCCCTCATGAGATAACACATATCCAAAGTACTCTATACTAGTATGTGCAAAGCTGCATTTCTTCAGGTTGGCCTTGAGTTGATGCTCCTGTAGAA